CCAGGTGGAGGAGCGCGATGGCGATGTGGTCCGTGGCGAGTACTCGCTGGTGGATTCCGATGGCTACAAGCGCATTGTCCAGTACACCTCCGACCCAGAGAACGGCTTCAACGCTGTGGTCAACCGTGTGCCCGTCGACCATATAAAGGTGGTCAAGGCCGTCGCAGCCCCAACCCCTCTGCCCGTTGCCTATCACCACTAGATGGATATCCCTTTCTTTCCAATGCCATGTAAATGTCCATTAATTGAATAAATTGTTATATATTTCTAAGCTTCTATAAATGACGAGTTTTAATTGTCTGGCTAGAGATTAGATAATAGAGTGTCTACTTAAGAGAATTTTTTATTCCTACGTAAGATATACATTTTTATTTATTCATCTTTTCTTACACAATAGAAGACAAGGCTAAATAAATTAATGGTTAGTATACTCTTCACAGGTTTAAGGCAATCACATACCTTCTACGCGTGCGCAGATCCAATGATCGTATCATATTAATCAGTTATTACTCAATTGACTCTCATACTCATACTCGCTCATTTCGATCGTCAAGTTGCATAATCACGCACCAGTACCAATTTGCATCGCAATTACGACTGGACTCAGCGAGAGCCGATAGCTCTACAACAGTAAAACTCGCAATCCATACTTTAAATCAATTTTCGACAGAGGCTTCCCACTCATTACCATCTGCTTCTGCCACTAACTTTTACAGCAATCAGCACAAATCGAAGCGGACGTATCGAAAGTATCGCTCTATATAGTCCTTAGTGTCTTCAATAAGTTAAGGTCAGAGTTTTTTAGGGGCATTCGCCCAATGTGTTTCAGGATGATTTACGCGGCTTCGTTAACTTGAATGGCAGCCATTGTCTTATCGCTCAGATGTCAGCCTACATAAACGGCCAGTGTTCGGTTTTCCAACAACATCTGTTCCTTGCACGCCCAAATATGCCAAGGTATGTGAATCGGCGTCTGCTCGTGGCTCGGGCTCTTTGTCTTCCACCTTCGGCTGGGACAGGTGAGCAGCGACAACGAGTGTTAAGGTCAAAGTCAGGTTTTATGGTTAATTACCTCGTGAGCCGCGCTTGCAATCGCTTCCAATGGCATATTCGTGCCTTGCGCTCGTTCCCATGAAGTACGCGTACGAGTACCTACTGCAGTAGCTGTACCGATGGCCTAACAGTGGCTACAAAAAAAATAAAAACACAACGGAATACCTGGCAATTCCATTCCAATTCCAATTACAGTCGTGCAAGGTGGCTTCATGTAACTGGCCACCAAAAAAGCCACAAGGCGATTATAAACAAGAAAGAAAGCTCTAGTCGAGACAGCTCGACTGCGAGATCCCCTGAACCCTACAAGCAACTGATATTTCAATAATAATT